ACAAAGGTTGAAAAGAGAGAATGTGTGTCAGAGTAACAAGATTTCAGTGTCTTGTTGACCCATATCTAACTGGAAATGACCCTTATCTAAAGGCATAAAGGTCCCTTTAGTTATCACAGAACAACTAACTATATGACTCAAAGTGAGGTGACGGAAATGAGGGCCATTCCCGAACTTTAGTTTTGATGGGAACACCTGTGGAGTCTGGAAAAGAGACTAATTTCTGCCTTTACTGGAGAAATTCTGATTTAGCAGACCTAGGGTGAGGTTCAGGAGTCTGCATTTTTAACAAAAGATTCTGATCCCCATGTGAGTCTTATTCAGGTTGTCCAAAGACCATACCTCAAGAGACACCTGACAGGCTAAATTGTAGAGGATTATGACATTTTCCTAAAGATATGTGTTATATTTAGGATCTGGAATGCACCCCAAAATCTCATGGGTTGAAGGCATTGTCCCTTGATCATGGCATTATTGAGATAATCCCATCAATAGTAGAAACTTTAGAAGATGGGGTCTACTTGGAGTAAATGGGCCATTGGGATGTCTTTCAAGGGTATATCTTGTCCTCTTCTTGATGTTCTGCCTCACCAAAGACTCAAAATGATCAAACCAAAATGACAGTGGACTGAAACCTCTGAAACCATGAGCCAAAATGCATCTTTCCTCCTTTAGGTCGATTTTCTCGGGCATTTTGTCACAGCAACAGAAAGCTAACACAATATACGCAGACCCATTTGATTCCAGGTTCAGGCTGACATGTTAGGTTGTATCTTGAACATGTCTGATTGAAGAGGCTGGTTTTTTCCCTCATACTCCCACTGTACCTCAACAATGCCCCAGCCAAAGCCCAATAGATTTCAGTTCAATCATGAAAATGAAGTATGTGGAGAATTCAGGCATGAAGCCCACTCTCAGAAAAACAGTTTAGGGGAATATGCCAAGGAATCCGTAGGATGTTCTGCTTCTGGAAATTGATCAACTTGAGCAAATTTTAATTTGCCTTCTGGTTTCACTGATTTGTATATATTTTGATAACATAAAAACAATGCTTAATCTCCAAAGGGGAAGCACAAGATTATGCTGAGAAAAACAATCATACATGCTAGCAAGAATATTTAAAACTTTTGCCAATAAACATGAACATCCTTTCTGAATTTATTTTACTCAAAAGACTTTCTAAATTTTTGGAACAGGAAGGATACAGTTGGGTAAACTTAGGAGAAGTTGAAAGTGTTGGCATGGAATCAAGCTGGGAAAAGTGCCTGCTTGTTTTGTGGGGTGTGTATGGCACTAGAATTGGGGTCTCAGTCTCATGATGATGATTCCATTGCCTGGAATACAGAATGACTCAATAGGAAGCCCATGTGAGCAAGACTTTGTTTTCAAGGGGTCCTCTGGGCCCCAAACATTTGTCTTTATGCCATGTGCCAACCCCAGGAGCCACCAAGGTATATAAGTGGTTCTTTACTGTTCAGACGTTTTCCCACATGGTCTGGAACCCTTGGCTCAGTAGACAGCCTTGATTTGAAGTCTGCAGACCTGTGTTTGCATTCCTGCCTGACCACTTATCAGAGATTTTTGTTCCACTTGCAAGGTATGTTGCCTTGGGGAACCTTTGTTGCCTGTTTTATAAAACAAATAATGAATAACTTGCAAAAATCACAAGGCATGAGTACAAGCTCAAAGAAAATGTTGCAGGTACCTAAACTTTATAAATATTATATAATTTATACATGATATGATTAAATAATGGCTAATAAAGATGGTAATATCATTATTAAGACACTATTGAGAGAAAGCCTAAGACAGTATTAATTTGTTCTTTTCTTTTGGTAAATTGGAACTAGAGATAAAAGGTTCTCTTGGAAGGGGCAGACCCAAAACAGGTCATTACAATCCAAAAAGTGGAATAGCCATGAGAGGTCTGCATATACTTTTAGGGGAGGCAGAGTGGTCTGTGGTATCTGCCGGGGTGCAAGGATGTGGGTGTTCCCTAGGTATGCTGTCACTAAGAGGTGTCCCTCAGATGCCACCACTCTGTAGAGGCAGACAATGGTGTCTGCTGTTATCTCTTTGGGGAGTGTGCAGAACTGATATGTTATGGAAACACTAATTGTAGGAAGAATCAACATTACTGGGCAGAAAATACACCAGCACATCCATGGTTTTTGATCTCTTTAAAGAATATATTATGTCCAAAGCAACCAGATAAAAGAGAGGTGGTATAATTTATAAAATGCAGCATGTCCTAAAGTGGGCCTACCATATAAGTAATTTAGATAAAAGTGAAGAATGTCACTTACGAGCAAAACTATAGAACCAAGGCGAAATCATAGAGCTCAGTGACAACATTTCCTAACATCATTAGACAGCATATGCCTCTGGGGGTATTTGTGTTCATATATTGATATAAATAGCAGCTGCTTGCAATTAGTTCTGACAAAGGTGGGATGTGGTGGTGGGTGGAGCTGTTGATAGGGTGTTGCATGTGGGCCAGCCTGCACCTGTGAAGGTGGGGCCCCAGAAAGCCATAGCAACCCTGAGTTCCTTTACATTATTAGATTCAAGAGATTAAGAGTGGATATTTTTAGTTTCCTTATTTTTAAATTTTTATTTTTTTATAAATTAATGATGTAAAAGTAATTTAAATAGAAAAAACCCCAACCCAATCCTCTCTTTTCCCCTGATATTTATATTAACTTCCAATACCATTGTATCACTGTGTCATTAATATTTAATTTAATGACCTTCACTGGTTATAAACCATCATTTAAGATGGTGATACAATATTTGAAGATCTCTGTTCTCTCTCCTAGGTCTCTTCTCACTTCTCCACAGAGAGGAGATCTGATTTGGCCACATGGGCCAGGGGGTTTGTCACTGTCCATTAAAGCTTCCCCCTGTCTTGCTCCTCCTGGTAGGTCACCAGCCACCTTGTCTCCTTTGCCACTTATGCTACACCTTTTCTTACTCTCTGTGCTCTCCTATGGCCACCAGGTGCCACAGGGTCCTGAGATTCAGCTTAGCTCATGGTGGTAGTGGTGATGGTGATGGTGATGGTGAGGAGGGATGGGGCAGGGATATAATAAGGAAGCCTTTGAGGTCCCTAGGTCACAATTGGTACTTCAGGTTCACCATGGTTCCAAGAACGAAAACAGGGCCTCAGACCCCATCTGCATTTACGTCTCTCCTTTTGTGTTTACCTGGGGAGAGCAGTGTGACTAGGGTCCATCTGGGTCAGAATCCTAATATTCGGTCCATTATATTATTAGAATACCATCAAAACTGCTATGTTTCCTAACATTAGGCCCTAAAGATAGTATTACTATTGGTTTTGGTGCCCTGATTGTTGGATGATGGTTCCTAATTCTCACCATTGTGAAGCAGCACTCTGATGGTTACCTTTTTGCCTCACCCCTCCCCATTACACTATAGAAAGTGGAATTACTGCATCCATGAAATTGAACAGTTTTATATTTCTCAATGCATGGCACCAAATCACCATGCAAAATGAGAGTGCTAATATATCCCAGCATTTATAAAAAAGCTAAGTTTTACTGACCCCATCCCCCACTTTGTTAAAATATGCAGGGAAAATAAAACTCAGAATTATTGGTCTCTTATTTTTAATAACTTTTATTTACTTCAATATAGGGGGAGGAGTAGTTTAACTTCTTTTTTATAAAAGCTATTCCTTCAAAAATTTTCTTTAGATTTTTTTTCTAGAGATTCTTTGAATAGCCATAAAGGAAAGGAAAATCCTTATTCTTTGAGGGTGTATTGTTTCAAAATGATAAAGATATTTGGAGTCACATGTGGCATGTAAAATGGTTGGTTATGTTGGGTAAACAATGTTTTAAAACTATAAATTAGATATTATAAAGTAATGACTCTGTGTGTGTGTATGACTTAGAACCTACCTTTAAAGGCAGTTCTAAAACATATTCAAGATTTGTTTTGAGTAACTCTATTGGATATAGTTGCATTAAACTTATTCATGCATTTTTCATTTTGTACTTTCTTGTGGGGTCAGTCTCACCATTTTTCACTAGTGGCATACATTGCCAGGGGGAATATTAGAATTATTATATCAAGGACGCAGGAAAAGAGGCAAGCTTTTGAATTCCAAAATTGGAGATTGAAGTCCACTGTGAGACTTCATTGGGAGAGAAAAGAAATGTCTAATTTCATGTTCTAATATATCCTCTCCTAATATAGCCAGAACAATCTTGCAGGTCGGAGCATATTTTTAGCCCTGTCTCAGTTGGAAGAAGACAAAGAGAGGAAGAATAGAACAAAGCCATGTTGTGATGGTTCTATCCGCATTCCAGGGATGAGATGGGGAAGCCAGATGCAAGCACCTTAAAGACATAGATTCAGAGGGCTCAGGAACACTGACAGTTTCCTGAAGAACTCCAGATCCAACAACAGCACTTGAACAAGGTGGTGACAGACATGTCTAGAGAGCGGTAGGGAGATGTCCAGCACATGGACCTGTGATGGTCCTTGGTCATCTATCTTTTGTCTATGTCTTATGCTATGATGTGAAGGTGTCATGGTCTTCAGGGAACAGGTAGAGGCTTGGAGTCTGGACAAAGAGGCTTAAGAGTACCTAGGATTGGAGACAAATGCAGCGGACCTTGGAATACAGTAACATCCAAGTATTCCCAGGAGAAGACAATGGTACACTTTGGGCACAAACACACAGCCCAAACTAGAGTAGCTGCTCACATGTGTAAGAGTGGTCCCAGGGAAAAGTGCAGGACTCCTCACTGCCACCATGAAGTTGTATGTTCCTCTAGTGAACAGACACCATCAGGTGAACTTCCTAACATTTTGGCTGTGTGTTTTTAGATACTAAGGATGCTGATAAGGTTGAAGTAAGAAAATGTTTTCTCAAATGGAATACTCTATAATTTCATTCATCCCAATTTTTGTGTATCATCCAAAATGTGGGTTGGTCATACAGGGAGTGTGCATGTGTCTGCTTTACTCACCTGGTTCTCTTTCAGTGTTATCTGCCCCTGCTCCTTACAGCCAATGAAGGTTCTAACACATCTAAAAATCTTCTCGTTTTGTTGTACTCTCTGAACAAAGTTGGCTGGAAAGAAGCCGATCCTGTCTTGAATTTTCCCCTGAAAGGAAAAAAGGGAGACATTCATTTCCATTTGTGACATTTATCGTAATTATAATTACCAAATGATTTTTTTTCCTTTTAAAGAAAGAGAAATACTTGCTTTCCACCAGTCTTCATTGGAATCTTCTAGAAGAGTAATTATGTCTCCTGGCCTAAAATGGAGAATGAATGAGTTGGGTGGGGAAATAGGAGGAGGAAAAACATGAAAAACAAAAGACATATATGATACTTTGAAATCAGTAGTTGTTTTCATTAATGCAAATAATCCCACTATAAGTAGAAATAAAATAAACATGACTTTTACCAATTCTTCCTACCCAAGATAGAAAGCAAACACACTTTCTACACTGTATGTAAAAAATAATCCTTATTTTCATTTCAACACATAGATGATCATATTTTCATTAAAAAACTCCAAAATTTAGAAGTCAAGAAGTTTCAAGGTGCAATTCCCCCTCTGTCCCACAGTTCTCCTCCCATCCTCCCATCCTTAGATGATATGTAGCTAAGTATATGTATTTTTTAAAAAATTATTCTTGTTAGAATACATGACAGTAGATTGTATTTTAACATGTTATACATACACGGAATATAACTTATTCTAATTAGGATCCCATTTTGTTTGTTTCTTTTCTTTCTTTTCATTTTGGTGCTGGTGATTGAACCCAAGGCCTTGTGCATGCAAGGCAAGCACTCTACCAACTGAGCTATATCCCCAGCCCCAGGGTCCCATTTTGTAGTTGTACATGATGTGGAGTTACACTGGTCGTGTATTCATATATGATCATAGGAAAGTTATGTCCAATTCATTCTGCTGTCTTTCCCTTTGTCTAATCCAATGAACTTCTATTCTCCCTGCATCCTCTATTGTGTGTTAGCATCCACATATCAGAGAAAACATTCAGCCTTTGTTATTTTGGGTATTTTTTTGCTTAGTGGTAACATCTATAATTAATTGGTCATTCTCTTTATGATCATCTATCTCTTTGTGATCTCTTTATTATCTCCTTGTTATCTCTTTATGATCATCTATAAAGTCTCAATAACTTCTTGAAATCTAGCACACTTTTGCGTAGTCCTACTTTGCCTCCTTGCCACTTTGATATTGAGATAATTTGGAGTCTTGTCCTAGACTTGCGTGTGTTTGTGTCATTCATCAAGAATGACTTGGGTTTAGCTGATGACTGAGTGTTTGTGCTGGTTTTGGTGTTGTAGATGTGGTTGTTGTTTGCTATTTCTTGCCTTACCCCCCTGCCCCCCGCCAATCCAGGTGTGGGGATAGGTAGAGGAGAGAGAATGTGTGCTTTGACTCCTTTCTCTCAGTACTTGCTGGAGCCTTTACAATCCCAAGACTTACTTTTCCCCTTTGGAAATTTCTGTAAACTTTTCTCTGCTGTATGTTTCACTGTTTTCTCTCATCTTTCCTTCGGGAACTTCTAGTCAACACATGTTGGACCTTTGGGATCCCTCTCCATACCTTTTGTTTTTCTTATATATTTCCCATTTGTTTTTTTTTCTCCCTCTGTATTAAATTTTTTTTCCCTTATTTTTATCTTCCTTATCATTTATTTTGTGTCTGGGATCCTCTATTTTTTTTTATCTGAATACTAAGAATTTTTGAACAAAAAAAGCTAGCAAGTATTTTTCAAGTGTTTTTAGAAAAAAAACTAATATTCAAGGGTTCTTAGTTGCTGAAATTTCTTTTTTTCTTTCTTTCTTTTTTTTTGTTTGATTGGAGATTGAAAGATCAAATCCAGGCACTCTATTCACTGAGCTAAATCCCCATCCCTCCCCCTTCTGTTTTTCTTTTGCACTATAATTTCTCTAAATTGCTGAGGCTGTCTTTATTATTTTCTGAAAAATATCTGACAGTTGCTTTCTATGATGAATGCAATGTTATAATGGATCTTTTGAGGACTATTATATTTTTAAAGCCACTATTTATTTCCTTCATTGAAGTTTTTCCTGTAGAATCAGTTGCCCTGACCTTTATCTTATCACTTCTCCTTCATGTCAAAGGATCTTCTTGAACATCTGGCATTTCTTGGTTGTCTCTTTATATTAACGACTGAGATGGAGGCAGGTGGATGTGGCCAGCTGGGTGGGCTTCTCTGCTATTACACCCATCTGGTCTGCCCTGGGTCTCTCTCCCAAGCATGAGGGCTGTCTACAGGTTCTGCTGAAGGGAGTGGGGTGTGCCAAGCAATGCATCTCATTTCCGTAAACTCGAAAATATCGTGTTAAGCAGTTTGGGGTCTCCTCTGCTAGCTCAGTGGGGAAATGAGGAGGTCTTTCCTAACCCTGGTGAGAAAGGTCAGCTTGTTTATTTTCCTCCTAAGTAGAGCTGTCTTTCCTTTTCCTCTGCCCTTTAGAAGGTCTGGAGAGTTATCTCAATATAATTCTTCTTTCTCAGGCATTGGGGCTCACGTGGGAGCTCTCCTTAAGCATGGGTTCCCTTTCTTTCAAATACAGGTATTGGTTTAGATCTGGAGTCAAATGCCATTGCTGCCAATTGCTCATTATAAGCAGTAATGTGGTGGTACGAAAGGTTGGGGCTCTATCAGTTAAATACTACTTCAATAATGCTCTATAGCAAACAGTCACAAATCCTAATGGCTCACTCATATACTCATGAGTCCTGGTGCTGGCTGGCTGTTGGCTGGGTGACTTTGCCCTGTTCCACTGTTTCTCAGACACCAGGGAACAGCAGACATTCATGGCAATGGCAGAGACTTGGGAGCAGCAATTGGAAACATGCAAACACATGGGCCTCTAAGACTTTGGCTTAAAATAAACACATTGTTCCTCTGCCTCATTTTACTGGCCAAAGCAAGTCACAAGGCCAATCCAGGCTCCAGGGATGGGGTAACAGGTTCCACCTCTGTGTGAAAGGAACTGCAGTCTCATGGGAGAGGGCATGAATAAAGGGAGAGATGAAGAATTAGGATCATGAATGCAATCAATCTGCTGCAGACTCCCCCCATGTTTACCCCTGGATTTTCTCAGTGTCTATTCCAATGTATTCCTACATGTCAAGCTTTTTTTCCCGGTGTTGTTTGGTTTCTGGACATCTTCACTGTTTTCACCCTAACTACAATTGCCGTAGTCTGCCAGGTGAGTCCCAAGATTCCTGGTTTTTCCTTGGCATTCTTTCTGTTTTCTAAGACTGTTAAGGAAGTATCCTTAAAAAAAAAGAGAGATTTTTGGACATTCTTAGGAAATGGAGCAAGAGAGAAAGCAGATTCGTGTGCTCATTTTGCTACTCTGATTCAATCTCCTCTGCTGTCATTTTCAATTCTCAGTTAATATCTATCTTGGTCGGGGATTCCGATATAACAGGCTTATAGCACCTGAAGCATTAAACACAACTGGCATTTCAGTGTTCCGACAGTCACAGTTGTATGCTGAAGCTACAGAAAGCGAGGTGGCTGAAAAATCACTCTTTCCCAGGTGAGGGATTTAATTAAGCAGCAAGGTTGAAAATCAATGTGGAAAAATCTTCTAGGCTCCAGCAGACTTTATTTAACCCAGTAACCTAAGAAACTGTGTGTCAGTATCAAACATGATGACTTGGCTGCTGGTTTGGTAGCAATTGCAAATACATAATAAAGCTGGAGACTGGGGGAGGTACTGTTCCTGAGGGTGAAGGAAGAGACTACTGAACCTGTCCTTGGATTTTATAGTCTAGCTAGAGACTCTGTAATGGGCCCAGAAGTGAATGGTCCAGAGTGCTTGCCCCATGTTAACCATACGTTAGAATATGGCACTTACTGGAATAGAGGCTTTAAGTTTATAGAAATACCAGACATACTCCTGACAGTGAGGGATGGATTCTATCTTGTTCTATAAAAAGCTCCACCAGTGTCAGAAAATTGCTTGGTGAGTGAGTATAGTTAAATGTATTCTTTTTTTTTTTTTTTTGAAGGGAGGGTAACTAGGGATTGAACTCAGGAGCACTCAGCCATTGAACCACATCCCCAGCCCTATTTTGTATTTTATTTGGAGACAGGGTTTCACTGAGTTGCTTAGGGCCTGGCTTTTGCTGAGGCTGGCTTTGAACTCAGGATCCTCTCAGACTTCTGAGCTGCTGGGATTACAGGCATGTGCCACTGTGTCTGGCCTCAACCATAATTCTTTATTTTTATTTTTCTGTTTGTTTACCTGATCATCCAACAAATATTTACAGAATGCAGATTCTGAAAGAGCCATTTTACTAGGCGGTAGGTGAACTATGGTGAATAAAATCCTCACTGGAATGAATATTATGGATACTAAGTAAGTAAATAGTTAACAAAACATTTAATAAATATATAACTAATAACAAGTACATACTGTATATGCATGATCAATGCATACACAATTGTAAATTGTCCCAAGGGCTATGAAGGAAATAAATGGGAGATAGCCATAAAGAATAAAAGTGGCCACCTACTGAGATTAGTCGAATAGTCTAAACCTCTGGAAGAGACAGTTAATACCTCTCTTCACTGCAGGGAGGATCTTTCTCTGGGACAACAACTGCTTAACATCTGAATGAGCAGACCTGTGGCTGTGGGATTTGTATCCCCCCTGCCTATCCAGGTACCACCTAACAATCTCAGCATTCTTTCCCACTGGCTGCACTCAGAATCCTTTCCACTCTGTAATACTTTTTTTTTTTTTAATGTGTTGATCAGTTTTGAAGTCCTACAGGCTGGTTCATTCCCTTCTTAAGCAGCTGATTAAGTCCATACCCTTAGCCATTTCCCTTCCCAAGGCTCTCCCACTCTGGATCATTGTGCACCAGCTTTACCCACCTACCCTGGGGTCGGACCAGACAATGACGGAAAGGCCTATGCTTTTGAGTCTATAAATTACTCAAATTAGCCCCTCTATAGGGAGCCCAAGCAAACCCCATGGCTTTCCATGCATAAACTGCCCCTGCAGCTCCTGGTGGTTGTTTCCCTGACTCCCAGGCACAAGCCCCATGTGGCTCTTCTTGGCAGCCCTTCCCTCCTAATCCTTTCTTAACTTAGTTCTCTTCTGCCACGGTGCTGGTGTGCTGTGTTGTGCCACCAAAGAACTAAATTAAAACATTGTGCCAAGCAGCTTTTCATAGAGAGGTGAGCCTTGCCACGGGTCCCTGGGGAGCAGAGGTCTCTAATGCTTGCCA